TGAATGTTGGTGCATTTGATGATCCTACACCTACTACATCATATCATAGAATGGTTCATGAGGCTGCTAGTCCCGCATTTGTTCCAGATGATATGGAAGAATTACCTAATCCTGATGCACAAAGTTTTTATGATATGCTTGATTCTGCAAATCAAGAAGTGTGGCCTGGTTGTGAAACACACTCAAGATTATCAGTTGTTTCTCGTTTGTTGCACATCAAGACTTAGCACCACCTCTCTGATAGATGTTTTGATAAAATTTGTCAGTATATGAGTGAGATGCTTCCGCCTGATAATGTGATGCCAAAAAATTTCTATGAAACTAAAAAGTTAATGAGGGGAATGAACATGCCAGTTGAAAAAATTCATACTTGTGTCAATGCCTGCATGATTTACTGGGGAGAGGATAGTGAGCTTGTAAATTGCAAGTTTTGTAGTCATCCCAGGTACAAGCCTACAAGTCAAAGATCTGTTTCAAAGAAAAATCTTGTACCATTTAAACAGATGTATTACTTTCCTCTTACTCCACGGCTGCAACGACTGAATGCTTCCAAAGCAACTGCTTCGCACATGCGATGGCATGCTGAACATGAAGTTGAGGAAGGTGTAATGCGTCACTGTTCAGATGCACCTGCCTGGAAGCACTTTGATAAGAAGCATTCATCTTTTTCAGAGGAAAGTCGTAATGTTAGATTGGGGCTATCAACAGATAGGTTTCAACCATTTGGACAAACGGGAAAACAATATTCATCTTGGCCAGTAATTGTGACTGTCAATTTTCAGCTGAATGCCTCTCAAAGTGAGAGAGTCTTTCCATTATATAGAGAAAATAAAGATGACACATCCCTAAAGATCTGTCATTTCTATCCCTAAAGATCAGCTATTCTATCTATACAAATCCGCCATTGAATACCTCTAAATCTGCCTTGCTATCCCTCCAAATCAGCTATTCTATCACAATATTTATTCATATGATTCTACAACAAATGTATATGATCATGCTAATTTATATCACTATATAATTACATTAATATATACAATCATTTAGTTGTCTATCATGCTAACACATGCAACATCTGTATTCACTCTCTTACTAGTGATGGACACAATTGGGTCAGTTTCCTACATTCGTACCACTGTGGAATCTGCGCCTACCATGGTGACTTTGGACTGACAAATTATTTCTTGTTTGGATCAACTAACCTTAACTAACAAAGGAACGGAGTTATCCATGAAAGGAATTCCACAAAAATTGTCTTATGGAACTGTTGTCACTCTTACTTCCACTTAGAGCCCTAACTCCAATGGCAAATATGAAGTCAAGGCTAGAATCACCACTCATAATGGTGTACAAGGTGTAATGGCCCAGCATTGCAAACTCACTTAAGATTCTTGATAGATTGGGTGACAACATTCGTAAGGGATCCCTTTGAGAAGTCTGAGTACCCGATAGTGTCATCAAGTGTATGGCAAGGGTAAAGAATGAATAACACTGAATCTGTTTAAATATCACTGACATTTCACTATGTTATGAGATTTACGACTCATTTGAGTTTGTAACCTTAATAACATAGTGAATCATTAACACGAATTTGAGAAAACGACTGACAATGGCTTATGATGATGCCTTTGACGAACCGTCACACATGTGATGGATCTTAAGAAGCACCGTTAATAAGCCCAAAAAATTGGGTCACTAATAAAATAGTGACGACAAGTCAGTCAGACCGTCACACTTATGACAAAAATAAGACCTGCTGTCAGGAAGACTATTTTAATTTAGTCAGTAGTGAATAGTGGAAATCCTTGCGGTTTTCTTTTTGAGTTAGGAAGTTGGGAGTGTAGAAATAAAAGAAAATAGAGTACTTGGTGGACTATATTCCCCAAATTTAAGTTAAAATGTCATGGTTTGGACTTAGAAAAAGTTGGAAAAGAAAAATAAAAACACAATTAAAAATCTATCGAAAACCTTCCACGAGGTCATCTACGGTTCGTGGTTTGATCTACAGACCGTAGATCCTATCTGTGGAATTCATACTGAAATTTTAAGGCTCAAAAATTTATTCTACGTGCCCTACATGGACCCGTAGATGGGTCTGTAAGAATTGAACCCAAAAGTTTAACTTATAGAACTTTTTCCACGAGTCAACAGTACATGTCGTAACTCTTCCTATGACTCGTAGATAAGGTTCGTAGTTCACTGACTCTGAAAACTCTGTTGTAGTAGTCTCTGGTAAAATGGTCATCACGATTTACTCTGAACTCGAAATGAGACAAGCTTGGCGGAGTGGAAATAAAGACTCATGGATCTTTAATTTAATAGTTTAAAGGACACCTAATTCATTACAAACTGAGAGATATGATTGTTTGGATCTGACTTAAGTAGAATCTCATATCAAAACTTAATCGGTAAGGAAGCTTTCTACTCATCTTTGTGTTGGAAAACATATATGCACAGCGGAAGCATATCAGGATCTTACTGCTTACATGAATAATAGATAACCAAATCGTTTATGCTAGAACACATAATCATGCTAGAACACATAAACTTGCTGAATTTAATTCGATAAATACCTTTTGAAGCGTGAGCAGATACTTTAAAGCGAATCCCCAAGTTAGACGGACCTTCAAGCGAATCCACAAGATAGACAGCAACTATGGTCTTCTACAGTGATCTCAAGTTCACATCTGAACTCTCTCAACACTTGGGTGGGCAAGTATCGAATAGAAAACTAATCCATCTTTTTCTAGGTTAGGAGAATCTCTATTTATAGAGATTTCTTCCCAATCCAAAAAGGAGAAGAAAATCCAATTTTCTTGAAAAACAAGAAAATACACGCCTACTCCTTTTTTCCCTAAGAAATAGGATTCTGAATTCTTGTTAAATATGGGCACTATAGGGACCACATAATTAATTACTGAGGCTTCCTATTATGAAAATAATTCCAAATAATTAATTTGAATTATTCTTACCATAATAAAATTACAAATCATTCCACTAGAAATTCGTAATTGCACTCTTCTATTTATATTTCGTAATTCCTCATTAAACACTTATGT